GCAGGAATGTAAAATATGATGCTCCATGAATAATAAATTTCATAAAAGGTGTGTGAATAATTCTGCCAAACTGAGATTTGGGAGCTATCAAATAACAAAGTGACAAAACTGGCCAAAACATGCCAACTGTCAAAACAGTCATTATCTTCTTACAGGTAGGCTTACGTCGGTAACCTGACATCTGTCCAAACCAAACAGTGTTCAGGAACTGCTGACAGTTGGACTGGGAGACAAACTGAAAACGAAGCACACACATATAAAAAAAGTAAAATATAACTTGTAAATACGATCTGATAGTACTATTATTTAATTGATAATCAAAGTTTTAATAATAGTTTGAAATCAATTCTATACAGTCCAGTTCTTTTTGTTTTGTTGTGTTTTCTTACGTGTAATAAAAGAGTGTGGTGGTTAAGAGCATAGACTCTGGAGCCAGATTACCTAGATTCAAATCCAGGCTCTGCCACTTACTTACTAAATGACCTTGAGCAAGTTTTTAAATCTCTCTAAGCCTCAAATTCCCCATCTATAAAATGGGGATAATAATAGTATCTAGTCATACACTTGTTATGAGGATTAAATGTAAAGCTCTTAGAATAGTGCCTGGTCATAGCATGCACTATATAAATATTAGTGATTATTACTAGCCTACTCAGCCATTTCAAAACGTTTAACTTATAAAGACTCATAATAGTGTTTATGAAATTTCAAAATTAACAAGCACAATCCACAGAAAGAGACTTCAGCCTAGAAAAACTGATGATTTCAGTTACAAGAAACCAACATGTCAAGATAGCAAAGCAATTAAAGTCTAAACATCAGATATTTTTATGCTCCACGAAAACACTGAGAATTTCTTAAAATGTATTAAAGATACACTTAAATCTTCTTAAAATGGAATTCTATGTGAGAAGAAAAGGAAAAATATTCCCAAATAAGAGGAAACTTCTAGTTCAAGTATAGAAATGAATTTACCAAAGTTTACGAAGCTTTTTAGTTTACAAAATTCAGAAGCAATATTTTCCCAATATAATGCTCACGTTGTGAAGTATAAGTTAAGGATTCTGATAACTCTGGACACAATAACGTAATCAGGTTTGAAATCACCAAAGTAAAGCACAAGTGATCATAACATCATTCAGATATTAAATAATATTTGGTCAATGTCCTGTTTTAAAATGATTTATCCCAAGATAGAATATAATCTATAGAATGCAACACTGTAGTTTAAAAAAGTAGACAGAGTTTTGTTGTTGTTTATTGTGCTTATCAAGAAATTTCCTAATATATCAATACTATGCCTATTTTTGGCAGTTAAGTCTTCATTATTTATCCTTCTGCTTAGATTCCAGTGTCGTTAGGGAATCGTAATTTGTCCCTCAAGAGGAAATATCAGGGAGGAAAAGAGCTTTTCTTCCCACCAACTACCCAGTTTAGTAGCATCCCAAACTTAGTGGTTTCATCCTTCCCCCAAGTATCAAAGCAATCTCAGGCGTGACTGCTGCCCTTGCCATTCCTCTATATAATGATGATTTAATTAACAGTCATGTTAAATATGTAATTGGAAGGACAAATTTTCATTTGGAGATGTTCTAAGTCTGTGGTGGTTTTAAAACATAGACACAAATTCTTTGATACTCCTCTCATCAATAGGTGGGCTACCAATATTACCTACCCTTCAATTCAACAAGCTTATGATTGCTTTAACCAGCAGATTCTGGAAGAAGTGATGCTATGTGACTTCTGAAGGTAGGTCTTAAAAGGCCATTCAGCTTCCACCTTATTTGAGAAACACCTGCTCTTGGAGCCAAAAGCTGGCAGGTAAAAAGTCCTACGACCCTGAAGCCACCATGCTATGAGGAAGACCAGGCTACATGTGGGCACTCCGGTCAGCCCTCAGAGGCTACTCAGACCATCCCCCTGCAGCCAGCCCACCATGAGAGCCATGCCCCTCCAAGGTTCCAGTCCTAGGTTCTTAGGAGACCCACCCTCTATGGACCCACCCACCTGAGCACCCAGCCCACTCAGAGCTCCCTGTTTGAATCCTTAGCTGCTGCTCAGGCACCAGACATATGAGTGAAGAAGCCTCTCGAATGACTGTAGCCTCCCATCATTTGAGCTGTCTCCAGCTGAGTCCTTGACATGGAGAAGCAGAGACAAATCAGCCTCGCTGACTTGTCCTTTCCTAATTCTTGACCTAAAGAACCCAAGAGCATAATAAAATGATCATGAAGTTACTACAAAATGACTATGAAATACTGTTTTATGCCACTAAGTATCACAGTAGTTTGTTATTCAGGATGTATGACCTGAACAAAGTCTACCAACTATTTGGAAAAATATTATCTTCCCCTTTGATTATATTTAGAAATCTAGTTTAAAAAACTAATTTACATTTTCATTAATTCTTAAAATTACAGAGTATCTTCCTTCCAACTAAAAATATTACCACTACTTCTTTTTCCTTTTCTCTACTCTTCTTTAGAATGGAACATTTGGTTATCCTCTGTGAGTTCTTCAGGGATGTACATATAAATATCATTAGGAAACTGCCTCTTAGTTTTTTCTTCCCTTACCAGGATAATCTTGGTTCTTTCCACCTTTCTTTGAGGTTCTTTTTCCAAGCACTTAAGTTGGTTTTGTATCTTTGTTATATCTTTATTCTATCATTTTCTAGTATTTTGTGTCTCTTTTAGGTTGTGCAACACATAAGTAAATAAATTAACATAAGATCTAGTCAAAATGTATGTTAGGGGAAGATTACATCAGGGTTCCTATTTTCTCTGTTTCTATATATACATATTAGCATTTATTTCCTTTTAAAGCCACATAGGTATGTTGCTGATTTATAATCTTAGAGCTACACTGATCCAAATTCTTGTACCTAATTTTTTTTTCCTATAAACGGTCTACCTTAAGCAAGAACACTGGAGTACTAGAAAAATTATAGGATTTGAAGCCAGAGATCTAGATAAGAAATATAATATTTAGGTTATTTTATTTTATTTTATTATTTGTTTAACATCTTTATTGGAGTGCAATTGCTTTACAATGGTGTGTTAGCTTCTGCTTTATAATCTAGGTAATTTTAAAGTAAACATCTTAAAATTCCTTTATCAATCTCCTGAGTCACAAAGCTATTGGGAGGCTCAAACTGTCAACCAAGATAATCAAAAACTCTGTCCTTAGCACCAAAGGTCCTATATCTTGCCTTTTACCATAATCTGTTTGGGGCCCCATTTTTATATTAATATAAATTTGATAAGCAAGTTTTATTCCAGTATCTATGTTGATAGTAAGAATAATGGGTCTTAGAAGAAATACCTTAAAAGTACCATTTACCAACACCCTCTACTGAACATCATTATCTACATATAAATATCCAGGCCTAACAAATTATCTCAAAAAATGAAGTTAAAAATGCATACCTTCCTTCTTCAAGTTCCTGAATCATGTGCATGTGAGTGTATGGGGAGTAGAAATAGGTATTTCCCTTAATAGGAAGGGATGATGCCAGAGAGCCAGATTCAACTTAGTTATCATAGCATACGTCTCTCCACCTCTGGGTTTCACAATGAATTAACAAATAAGAATAAGGAACATAAAATATCTGGTATTTTATTTTTAAACAGAAAGGCCCTATTACTATAGAAAGGACTACTTATAAGCGATCAATAATACAAACCCATGACAGACAAAACACAAGATGGAAACTTCATTAGGAAGGCATTTACTCTACAGGATCTTACCTGCATAGCTACTATATAGCAAAAACATTACATTAACATCCATATTATTATTATTAATATTAATTGTTAAAAATAATAGCAATTACCATTTATTGAGTACTTGCTTAATGCTAATACTCATTGTACTAAACTCTAAATATATATATATCTTTAATTAATTCTTAAAACTAAAGCTCAGACAGATTCAGTAACTTTCCCACGGACACACAGTTTTTATGAAGCAGAACTAGGATCTCAACCTAGAGGTATTGCTCCAAAGCCTTTGTTCCGAGCCACCAGACTACTGTGGAGGAAATAATTTAAATATATCACAGAAAACCTCATACCTCCTTTTGGTTATATTTGATAGCAAGTTTTAGACGACTTAAATTCATTCTTTCTTCTAGTAGTCCCCGTTTGTCAAGAGGCTCATCACTAGATGTATGGTTTAGGATAACTTCTAATTCACGAGAATTCCGGGCTTGTGCAAGTAAATCTTTAGCAAACATTTTACATTGCCGAGCTAGTTCCTCATAATCATTCCTGCAAAGTGCAACAGTCTATTATTAGAAATGTCACTTCCATCTTCTAATTAAGCTGTTTTCACTAGAACATTTTTTACTCAGTAACATTTTAATTCTGATACTGCTACACAACATCTTTTGTGCTGACAGTCAAAGGATCCTACTGGTGCATAAATTCTCCATAGCTTTGGGGAAAATTGTAACACAGTTATGTTCTCTGTGTTCACACTGATAACCTTAGGTAAGCACAATGTTTTCTTACATATACTGATATTCCTAGAAGTTCTGATCATATTTGTCAACCAGCTCTTCACTTAACTCATTTGCCCTCATTCTATAATAGTTTTGTATAAAGCTTCCTTTTATATTATTTATCTAAACAATAGATAGTAATAGCTTGATGCTACCCAATAAATATTATTATATAATTTTTAACTAGAAGTTTTATCAAGGATAGTCTACAACATGTTTATGCTACTTCTGATATTAAAATAGTATTGTTTCATTTTTAAAGTGCTCATTTAAACAAAATTCAAGTTAGAAAGAAAACTACTGAAACACACCTAGTACAGAATTCTCTTTCAGAATCACTATTCCTTGAAAGTTAGGACTTACCTGCTCATTAAAGGCAAGCCTAAATCACTTCTGAGAAACTAAGACGTTTTAGTAGATAATTCTTTTTAAAATATCAATTACATTAAGCTTATGCCTGAGTGGAACAACTTAAGAATAAAGTTAGAAATAAATAATTATGAATTAACTGGGGTTAGATTTCAGAAAATAATTTTTCATTCAGTTTTTTTAAAGGGAAAGGAAGGGAAAATAGGGAGATTTCCCATTGATTAATTTTTTTTTCCAATGGGATTTTCCATGAACTGGCCGCATAAAATTATAACTCAAGGAATTAAAAAGTTTTCCTCACCAGCTAACATTTTTTCATCCATTCTTTGCACTTACTATGTAACCAAAATTACCTAAGAATAAGTAGTTGAATTTTTTTTTTTTTAATAAATTTATTTATTTATTTATTTATCTTTGGCTGCATTGATGCATACAGACTTTCTCTAGTTGTGGTGAGCGGGGGCTACTCTTCGTTGCATTGCACGGGCTTCTCACTGTGGTGGTTTCTCTTGTTGCGGAGCACAGGCTCTAGGCACGCGGGCTTCAGTAGCTGTGGTGCACAGGCTTAGCTGCTCCGCAGCATGTGGGATCTTCCCGGACCAGGGATCAAAACCGTGTCCCCTGCATTGGCAGGTGGAATCTTAACCAGTGCACCACCAGGGAAGCCCCGTAGCTGAATTTCTTTAACAAACAAAGTATTACCTACTTCTTAGTCTAGGAATCTAATTGCAGTCTAATCAATTTTATGTCTACATGTTATGTTTCTCCTACTAGAAAATCTCACCAAACAGTGAAAAGGGACAAAGTCTGGGTGTGTGGAATGTACCTGACATACAAAAAGCATTCTATATGCTTCTGAAAGTTATGAAGGATCGGGCTCCAAGGATGATTACAGAATCTAGGAATGAAGGGAGTAGGACAGAGAGCAGTTATAAATAAGTTTGTTCTTGCTTAAGGCTACCATTCCCACTACTCTTCACACTGCCTTAGAATGCCTCCGGCAATGCTGAACAAAGTAGGGATTTAAGGGTGGTGGAAGAGTGGAAGGAGGAAGATGGGGAAGGAGTGACGTAAGTGGACCTGGGGTCTATTCCACTGAGGGAAAAGGAAAATCCCAAGTATGTGGCAGCAAGGTTTGGTCATTTTGGATCAAATGTAGATAAATAAATGATAATTTGGCCTATGAAAAAACTCAGGCTGAAAATATTCTGGAAAACAAAGAGATAATTTACAATTTCCAGGGCTTCCCTGGTGGCGCAGTGGTTAATAATCCGCCTGCCAATGCAGGGGACATGGGTTCGAACCCTGGTCCGGGAAGATCCCACATGCCGCGGAGCAACTAAACCCGTGAGCCACAACTACCGAGCCCGCGTGCTGCAACTACTGAAGCCCATGCACCTAGAGCCCATGCTCCGCAACAAGAGAAGCCACTGCATTGCAACGAAAAGTAGCCTCCGCTCGCCACAACTAGAGAAAGCCTGCGCACAGCAACAAAGACCCAACACAGCCAAAAATAAATAAATAAAATAAATAATTTTTTTTTTTTAATTTAAAATTTCCATTCATTCCCACCTGAATTCCACCTCCACAAGGCTTAGCTCTTTTAAATCAGCACTAAGTTCAAATGCTCGCAGAATTGGATCCTCCTCTGTTAACATTATTAAAGCTGGACTGGCCAAGCAGCGATATATATCAAGACGAAACCTGTGATAAAATTTGATTCCATAATGTAAAACAAATTTATTAGATAAATATGATCAGTATCTTTAGCCTATAATTTTCATAAATTTAAAATTAAAGTATTATAAAATTAAAAGAAAATTAAACAACTATAAAATACTTTTTATAAGGTAACCTGCATAAAAAGAAAAAGACTTAAAAATAAATATTTTGAAATATAAATATTGCAATTTTTATATCTACTGCTTATAAATTGTTTTAGTATTTGTTTTCATAGATTCAAACCTTTGTATCCTTCAATTCAATTTAATTAAAAAATTTCTATTCCTGAACTCAGTATTATTTTAAATGAAATATGTTAATAACTAATACATTTTGAATATGATATGGATGATCATTAAATTTTCCTTCCCCAGGTATAAGTTTACTTTAATATGCTACATATATATAACACATGACTCACTGAACCAGGTTATTTTTGAAAGACCTTTCAAATCTTAAGAATGAAATCATTGATTTATGTCAAACCTCTAACTAATAGAAAAGTACTCCTTTTACCTTCCGTAAACTAATTAATGTTTACAATCAATATCTAAATAGGAACCAAGTCAGAAAAATTTTGCCATAATTCTTTCATTTATAAATATATAATTCTTAATTTAAAATTTGGTAGATATTATATAAATATTTTTTCTTTTAAATACAAATTTAATATATGCTTGTTTAAAAGAAAAGCAAGCAGTTTAGAAACATAATGCTCCCCAATTCTCCTCCTTCCACCAACTCCTCTCCTCAAAGAGAGTAACATTTCAGAGAATTATGAAAATCTTCCCTGATATTTTCTATTCACACACAAACATAATCAAACATACTGTGTACAGGGACAACTATTTCTTTTTTTTTTCTTTTCTGAGTATGTTTATTGATTTTATCAATTCTTGGTTATTCAAAAGGAATCAGCTTTCATGCTACTTTTGTGACAAGACTACAACCCTAAAATTCTTAGGTGAAATTTATTGCATCTGAATTTCCAAGACACTTTTTAAATTTTTTTTCTTTTTTTCTTTCTTTTTTTAAATTAATTTTTATTGGAGTATGGTTGCTTTAGAATGTTGTGTTAGCCTCCATTGCACAACAAAATGAATCTGCCATACATACAGATATCCTCGCCCTTTTGGACTTCCCTCCCATTTAGGTTACCACAGGGCATTAGGTAGAGTTCCCTGTGCTGTACAGTATGTTCCCATCAGTTGTCTATTTTATAGATAGTATCAGTAACGGATATGTGTCAATCCCAGTCTCCCAATTCCTCCCATCCTATCCCTTTCCCCCTTGGTATCCATACGTTTGTTCTCTACGGCTGTGTCTCTATTTCTGCTTTGCAAATAAGATCATCTGTACCACTTTTTTAGATTCCACATATACGCGTTATTATACGATATTTGCTTTTCTCTTTCTGACTTACTTCACTCTGTGTCACATTCTCTAGAAGGGACAACTATTTCTATGCCACTACATATAGAGTCATCTCGTTATTTCCTAAAACTGGATGGTTTTCCACTTGATGGCAGTCCATGCAATCTCCATTAATGGAACTTTAGGTTGTTTCTGATTTTTTACTTCCATAAATAATGTAAAACTGATTATTCTTTAGTTCATATACCCTTTGCACATTCAGAACTGCTGGATAAAACAGCATGTGCATTTGAAGTTCTGGTAGATGTTTCCAAAGCACTAAACAATAAGGAGAGCTCATTTTCCCCTACATCTTCATTAGTACATTGCTACCCTAACAGATGAAAAATGGAATTTTAAGAGTTGTGTTACTCTGAATTTCTTTAGAAGCTTAAGCATCCTTTCATGTTTACTATTTGTTTATACTTCTGTAAACTACATGTTCATTTGCATTAGCCTATTTTTCTGGTGTTTTTTTTTTAAATCACCAATTTGTAAACCCTCTTTATATATAAAAGAAATTAGCCCTCTGTCTTAGTCAAAAATGTTTTAAATACTTTTCTCTCATTGGTTGTTTGTCTTTTTACTTTGTTTGCAATGGAATTTTTCTGTATGGAAATTTAAAACTTTTACGTAACAAATTTATTGAAATATTCCTTATTTACCTGATAGGTCTCATGTCTTACTTGGACACAAAAATAGACTCTATACAAAGCATTTTTTTCTATATAATGCATTTCTAAGAAAACAATTTTTATGAAATCCAGCTCTGATCTAGATATTTAATTAACAAGTACAATTACCTGTATCTTAAGTAAGGATTTCTACAGAGGTATTTGCCTATACCAAAACTGTCCAAAAACTTGAGAAAAATATATATAGTTGAGCAACTTATCTTTCTGTTTCCATCATTATGTCTATAGAAATTAATTTTTATAGTAATTAATTTTATCAGATTGTCTCTAAAAATGACTTTTGTATCAACCTACACAGTCATGTCTCAAAATATGGATTAGGGACAAAATGCACAGGAAGAGTGACTGCTTGTACTGGTGGCAACCAACTATGCTGGAGTAATAATGGAAGAGCCATAGTATGGAAAGCAATTAGATATAATCTGAAAAATAATGAGGCTGCCTCGGTTTATTAAATCTGTCATTTTTGGTATTCAAAACACTATCAAAAGTAATGGTGGGGGCTTCCCTGGTGGCGCGGTGGTTGAGAGTCCGCCTGCCGATGCAGGGGACACGGGTTCGTGCCCCGGTCCGGGAAGATCCCACATGCCGCGGAGCGGCTGGGCCCGTGAGCCATGGCCGCTGAGCCTGCGCGTCCGGAGCCTGTGCTCCGCAACGGGAGAGGCCACAACAGTGAGAGGCCCCCGTACCGCAAAATTTTTTCTAGAAGATCACACAAAAGTTGGGAAGGGAAGGAAGGAAGTCAACTAGGCTACTACAAAATCTAGACTGAGGAAAAAAAAAAAAAAAGTAATGGTGGGATATGAAGAGGTCGGTGATTTCACTACACAAAATATATGCATAAAAACGGACAAAATTTTTTTTAAAAAATCAACTATTTCAGGTCACTGGAAATTGTCTATTGAGAATCAATTATTGGAAAACTGCCAGAGCTTCAGGCAGGAATGGCTGGAATCTGCAGCCTTCTCACCTGAGGCTACCTCTTCACCTCTGCCTCCAGTTCACTCAATGAGAACTGCAGTTTTCCAGCCTGAAGCTGGTAAATCTGTATCTTTGTGCTAAAGGGGTAAAAATCAATTCATTGGGAAGCAAAAACCTACAGCTCTGCTGGCTGAAAGGATTAGACTTAGTAGAGATGAACAAGGAAAACCTGCAGCTTTGCAAGACCAAGCTTGCGGTCTGATTTGAGACAAAGAGTGGACCAATCAGAAATTTAATAGGGACATCTTAGAAATGAGAAAAGATATACAAGGATTCATATATAGTCTCCACAAATCCGTGGCTGACTAAAAAATTAGGCATGTGTGCCAAGCATTAGAAAGTCTGATAAAAAGAAAAAGTTCCTCAAGGGAACTCTTGAGAAATGGCTGCAACTTTGAATGCCTTCTCCAACTAACTCACAGACTGTTTGTGTCTTATATTCCACATACAAGTGAAATCATATGGTGTTTCTCTTTCTCCGTCTGACTTATTTCACTTAGCATAATGCCCTCAAGCTCCATCACGTTGTTGCAAATGGAAAGACTGCATCACCTGGCACTGCATCATCTCTGAAATTTAAAACCCAACATCTTAGAAATACAGATTGCCTCTCTTCCTTATTGCTAGTACACTAACTCTTCAACACCACTGAAACCTTTACCCATCCCTTACTCAGTTGTTAGCTTCCTTTTCTCCTGCAGGTCTGCTTAGCAATTCCTGGAAATGACTTCAGTGAGATCCCTTTGACGTTTGCTATAACTGTTTTCTCAAACATCAATAACAAACTCTCTCAATGTCTTCAACAAATATACCAGACCATCCCTAAATAAACCACAGTCACATACTGTGTAAAATGCCTTTTACCTGTTAATCCTCATCCATACTTGAACACTGAGCTCAAGCCACAGCTCCTCTAAAAACTTTCAAAACAAGCTTTTTCCACACCTCAAACCAAGACAGGTAAAGTGTTTTCTCCAGCTCCCACCCCCACCTCCAACTGCTTAAACTACACACATATTTAATAAGCATACCTAATAATATTTAATAATATTTGAAAAATATTTATATTTAATATTAGTAAAGGATTTTAATACTAGAAGAAGTCTTAAAGATCATTTCTGCTTGTCATTTTATAGAGTATTTTATTTTATTCACCAAGCTGCACGGCTTGCAGAATCTTAGTTCCCTAACCAGGGACTGAAACTGCCCTATCAACTTCACTGACACTGCCCTCGGCAGTGAAAGCACAGAGTCCTAATCACTGGATTGCCAGGTAATTCCCCATAGACTAGTCATTTTAAAACTAAAAAGTTAAATGAAATTGGCATAGCTATTAACCAGATCTTATCAAAGAGAAACACAGATCTCATTGTGAAATAGACTTGAAAATAGAGGGACTTCCCTGGTGGCGCAGTGGTTAAGAATCCGCCTGCCAATGCAGGGGACACGGGTACCAGCCCTGGTCTGGGAAGATCCCACATGCCGCAGAGCAACTAAGCCCATGCACCACAACTACTGAGCCTGTGCTCTAGAGCCAACACAGCCAAAAATAAATTAATTAATTAATAAAGAAAAAATATCCAGTACAATCTCTGCAAGTAAACATTAAATTGATTCCCAGGAGACTTTTCCAGTTTATGGATTTGTGACTATCTGTTGAAAGGTGAGGAAGGAGGGAGGGTGGATGGTTTGCAGCTTTAAAGCTAATTTCAAATATACTGCTCAACAATCCTTAGCTAGAAAACAGTGTCAACGGATGACCTGGGACTTGGAAACCACATTTTCTGTAGTAAATGCTATACTTGATACTATTTCAACTATATTTGACTACTATATAGATAATATATACATAAAGGCATATGCTGAAAATTAGATTCTCAAGTCTAGCCCAGAACCATACACCTTATACAACATGCACATGTGTGATCTTGCTCAACCTGTCCAAGAACGGGTACTTTCTTGTTCATTCACTCCTCAGTTGTTCTTAGTATTTTTGACTGGGGAGAATGGGAAGAGAAGAAGACTCAGATACTGTGTGAGAGGGGAAACAGAGGCATAACAGGTTGAATATCTAGTTAGATAGATAATAGTTTTTATTTTCTTATAAATAAGACAGGAAGTGGTATCTCTACCCCTTCCAGTGCTTGGAAATTCTCTTAGATTAATAAACTCTGCTTTTAAAAAGCAAATAGTGACCCCATCCCTGACCAGCAGAAGTATGAGATAAACCTTATTCATTATTTGAAATTTTTTCCTAATTATTCATCATTTAGTAAATACTTCTTTAAAATGCAGAACTCATTGTATTAAGCAAAGGAGCTAGAAGTTTGGCTTTCATTAGTCATTGCAGTACCATATTTCTTAAAGTAGACATAGAAAGGACAACAACAAAAACTTCATTGACATATACCTTACTGCATAATACATCTTAATTTAAACCTTAATTTTCTGACCTGGAATGTCGGAGGCTGTCCTTTTTGTTTTTTGCAGAACACAACGTACATTCACAGCCAACCGCATGGGGCTTAGGTAGAGATACATCCTGTTTTAACAGCATTGTAAGAATTTCATAGTTGTTACGATGAGCAGCTAAAATGACAGGTGCAACGTCCATAGTTGTTGAATACTCAGGATTCTGAATTCGCTCCATTAGTTTCTGAAAAATATTTATATAAACATCCAAAAGTTCTTATTTGTGACTTCAAAAAAACATTTATCTAAAAAATGTAATGAAAAATATTGAATGCACAAGGGATATAAAAATTATTTTGAGGAATATGATAAACATTTTCTTAGGATCAAAGATTTTTTGAAACCTCAAAACTTAACTGTAGTTAATAAATGCAATATAACCATGCCAGACAAAATCTTCGATAGGAAATGTTCATACAGCCAGACTTCTGTTTTCCTAACAAAGAAGAAGCGTGGATAGCTAGAGAAATACTTTAGGAGAAAGTGTTTCATTTTCACAGGATTATGGAAACATGCATGACAAGGATAAAGAGCAAGAATTTTAGAAAAACAATATAATGGAAAAACAGAAATGTTAATATAGGCAAAATATAAATGCATGAGAAAAAAAAGTTTAATTCCACCTCGATGGCAAAACCTTGCCACGTTGATAGCAATGAAGTTACTTGAAAGGAATAAGTAAATAGGAGGCACTCTTCATTTCGTGTAATTCTCTACATATTCTCAAACACCACCTATACTACTTCCTGTTACAAATGCACAAAAACACTAACAATCATAGCTCCTGGAACTATTAGGCAGTTTACATTTATCATCTCATTTAATCCCAATAGCCTGCAAAACTGAACATTATAATCCCCATGAAGAAACTGAGGCTCAGAGAAGTTAATGTGCCCGAGCTACGACAACAGAGTGGCAAGGTGCAGATAGACCCCAGTTGAGTGTTATTCTGGAGGCTGAGCTCCTTTCACTACATGGGCTCATGCCTGGTGACTGCATGACACGAGAAAAGAAACATTAGTGAATAAAGAGCAGGATTAAATAAAGAAGGTTGACAATTTTATGACTAATACATATTCCTTCTAACACTTATCACTTTTTCACAGATGTTTTCCTGTGAGCTGTTTGATTCCATAGTATAAGCTCATCAAGTTCACCGTTAATTTTTGTAATTTTTATTAACATTGTAAAAGTAGTGCACACATGATAAAATATCTGAAAAATATGCAAAAGCAGAAAGAATAAAAATGCCCATGTTCCTACTACCCAAAACATTTTACAGTATTTCCTTTTAGTCCTTTCTCCACCACACCCGCTTTTTAAGGGCAACTTTGGCATGAATGACTTGGCACCAACGATTAAAAACAATGGCCCTTAATATTTTGAAGATCAAGGACCCTTATAATGATCTCGGAAAGCTATAACCCAGAATCTTCTGGAAAAAAAATTCATGTACAGAATTTTGCATGCAGTTTAAGGGAGTTCATAGACTCTATGTTCAAGATATTTTATTTTGCTAATATAAATAATACTACCACAAACATCTTTATGAATACAGCTTTTTCAAAATTCAGGATTGTCTCGTTAACACAGAACCCCTGAAGTGGAATTACAGGTCTGAAGGCCGTGGACAATTTTGAAGTCTCTTATACGTATTATCAAAGTCCTTTTAATAGTTTATATTACCAATAATATAGGAATGTACCCACCCACTAAGGTTTACTCACCAGCACTGAGCATGATCACTCCCAATTTATGAGTGAAAAAAACTATCATGAAACATTAATTTACTTTTCTTTGATTACTGGTAAATTTTAGTATTTTCTGACATTCTTATCTTTTTTTCCCTCTTTTACGAATAGTTTGTTTATACATTTCCCATCTATTTATTGGGGACTTCAAATTAATGAATTAATTTTAAAATTACAGAAAAATTTAAAAATTTACTCCATTCCCCCTAATTACAAAAAAAGAGGTTATAAAGAGGAGAAAATCTTATTTAATCCCTTAAGGAAAAAAATGGTCCTTATTTTTCCTATGAAACATAATTAACTGTATGAAAAACACTATTAGAGATAGATGATTAAAGTTCCTAATTTCAATGCTCATAATATAATCTACATACTATCAAAAAAACCCTGTATTTAAAAGTGAAAATTTATCAAAAGACAATTTTGATAAGCCAAGAATATACAATGAATTCACTGAGATGGTAAAAAAAAAAAAAGCATATAAAAATATTTGATACTGCCTGTCCAGTTGCAATGAGGCCGTTAAAATGTGATCTTGTCACTGGAAGTATTCAGGCAAAGGCTGGATAACTTTCTCTGTTAGAGATAGTGTAAAAAGTGTTCTTTCATGGAGTAGGTGAGGACTGCCCACCCTTACAACTCAGTATTCGACTGGCAGTGGCAATGGTGATGAAATGATATCAGTCAGTTGCTCCAATACCCTGGCACACTACACTCACCCTCCCCAAGAGTGTAAATGGATTAAAAGGCTAGAAGGTGGAATAGGTATACCAAAATATACTAGTAACTGCAGGATAGGTGTCAGAAAATTGAATAGGATTTCTGATCATTTCTGATCTTTTGGATAGGAGTTGTATTATTGGCCCTTTTTTCTCTACTCTTGTTGGCTGCTTACCACCACTTAAACTAGTTGGAACTATCCTCTGGAGAAAGTCATGCTTACACAAACTTTGTAATAGTTTAAATGAGAGAAAAATATTTCAGTTAATATATGACAAAGTATGCAATTTAGGGGAGCTTCTCATCGCTCTCAGAAAATGGCAGATAATTTGCAACCAATTTATAATTCTTTCTTAAAACAATATTTTTCTTCTGAGTATAGCCAGTTTACACTCCCAGAAATTAATTTTTACTGATTGTTTTACTACATCCTCACCAATAATGAATGTTATAACTTTAAAATTTTGATACACAACAAACATCTCATTTTTAAAGTAGAATTTATTTAATTATTAGTGACTATCTTCTTAGTTACAAAAGCAATAAAGAAAAATTTTAAAGTAAGGAAAAATATACTTAATTTGGCAATGTGATGACTGCTGTTAGGTAACATTTTGCTACATTTCCATACAGTTCCTTTTCTGTGCATATTTTTAATCTCAGATCATATTATATGTACAGTTTACTAGTCTCATTTTTTCCCTTCTGTATCATATTTTTTCATGTTCCTAATTATTCCTTTAAAAAATATCATGTTAATATATATGTAATTATTTATGTTTCCAATCTTCTATTTGGGGATGTTTAGATTGTGTCACACGGTTTTTGCATTGCTACAAATAAGATTACAAGTAACATTTCTGTCCACATTTCTGACCATTTCCTTTACAAATTCCTAGAGGAGGAAGCACTAGGTTCAAGAATATGAACATCTTTCTTGTTTATGACATATCCTGCCAAACTGCTTTTCAAAATACCCTCTTCCAGTGGTGTATGAGACTGTACTATGCCTTTGCCATCAACGGTTATTAGTTTTTAAAAAAAACTTTGCTGTTTGATAAGTGAAAATTAGCACCTCGTATTTGATTATTAGTAAGATGTAATATTTTGTACTTTCTTTTGAGATTTTTCCATGTCTTTTATTGATTTTGATGTTTTTCATCAATTCATCTAATATTAAGATTATGAATTTGAGATATATGCTGGAAATATGTTTTGAAAGTTATCCATCTGCTTTCTAAACTTTGCCTGATGTCTTAATTCTAGAAGTTTAACTTCTATACAGCCAAAGGCTGTGCCACTGTGATTTTTCTCCAAAGTCCTTCCCTCCCAGTCAAATATTCACCTACATTTTCTTCCGGTTCTATGGTTTCACTGTTTATATTTAACTTTTAAATGCACCTGGAAGCTAATCTGTATTTTCAACTTAACCTGCAGAATGTTCCAAACTAAAAATACTGGAGCACACTGGCAAAATTATAGAAATATCATGAATTTTAAGAAGGCTTCCTGAGAGCAACATTAATTATTCTTGCAAATGTCTACTTACTTTAAAGCAATATTTTACAGAGTAAAAAAAAAAAAAAAAAAAAATCTGTTTCTTTAAAACAAAGCAAATTGGAGGGGAGGGAGAAAAAAATGGCAGTGGGGCAGGAGATCTAGTTTGGTTTAAAAATCCAAATTAATAAATATTTAAGAGTACTAACTACTATAGTTGGTCTTGATGATCGTTTTGGTCGATGATTAAGTAGTATATCAACAGCTCCCACTACTTCAGAGTCGATTGCCACCAAAAGTGCATCTGCAGACTTTAAAAAAAAAAAAAAGGTTAAAAATGAAAATGGAGGATAAAAAGGTAAACTATTTAGTTTTACTAATTCATAAAGAAAACTATTTTTTTAAATTTAAACTGTATTATATAAAGTAATACTAAATTTTTAAAAATTTACACTGTCCAAATAGTACATTTGCTAGCCTTGGCAGTATTTCAGTGTACCACAACACACATATTTTTGTCCCGGTTTCACTGAATGAGCTGGTAAAATAATGAATGCTTGATAGCGGGGTTTATTAATGAAACAGTGCTGATCCACGCAGTATTAGTTGATATGTTATCTTTTTCAAGATGTTTACTCTCGAACTTTGGACCAAAAGAATCTTCATCACTCAAATCTATAAAAGAAATTGCCAAGAACAATTACTACAGGTAAAGGATTGTTTTCTGTCTGATAAAAATGATAATCAATGCAACCATGAGGCTAGGGGACAATGAAAAATAGGTTAACAGAAGGCGCTCAGCCCCTCTGTTCTCATCTTTAAAGCACACATGGCTGACTGAAATGGTACAAGTATGGCATTAATATTAGCAATCTTTTTCTTCTTCTTGGTGGTGCCACACTGATTGCGGGATCTTAGTTCGCTGACCAGGGATCGAACCCAGGCCACAGCAGTGAAAGCGCCGAGTCCTAACCACTGGACGACCAGGAAATTCCCAACATCAGCAATCTTATCAAGTAAAAATCACAAAGAACTAGGATACCAATGTCCTTAGAGACAAGCGGGAGAAGTGACTTTATAGTTTACTCCCAAACTGTAGGTCATTTTGAAGCTCCGGAGGAAAAAGTAAATAAATAGAAGCTGAGGAAATGGAGATTTTTTCAACTTTTCAATATAACAAACTCTTCAGTCCTATTGTGATACTTGGCAAGTGAGACACCAGGTTTGGGGTTTCTTTTTGTTTTGCTTTGTTTTGTTTTTTAAGGAAAACCATAAAGGCAGAAGCAAAAAGTGGGGATAGGTAACGATTTAATCTAAGAAAATACCCTGATTATTTAAAAATGTACCCTGTACATTTTTAAACTATTATAATGTTTAACAACTAATTAAATCAATATTCTCTCCCATGAAAATGAAATTATACCAGATCTTTAATATTCTTTGTAGCTGAAAAGAAAGCTTTCATCCACTTTCTCTAGATGTCAAAAACAGGACTAAAAATGGCAGACTTTAACTGGATGTCTAAAAATAGGACTAAGCACCCCAAATAACTGGGTTGGGGTCACATTCAACCATTAGGAACTGCCTATGTATTCCCACAGGAAAAACTCCCCACCCTACGGGAAATTTAATTCATTATTTTATCCCTTAAACATTTTAGGGTTCACTGGGCTGTAGCCTATTCTTTAAAAGCTAGCACTATTATTCTTCTGCTTTACAAACGTTTCTCTTCAGTTTTTACTGTACTTGGTCAGGTGAAGCAAACAAGCAAAAAGAACCATGTGTTCATCATTACTAAACAGTTCATTTATGGTTTTTAATTTTAACCTATAAAGCTACCTATAGTAATGCCACTGCTCTCAAAGTCAAAACACCAGGCAACTCCAATCATCTGAAACATAGCCATGGATCTAGCTGCAAATTTCTCCCCAAACCATACTGAGCTGTCACAAACTAACTTCATGGGCATTATTTCCTAGAAGCAACTGCCTCACCCACACCAACTTAGAGTTGTCTATAAATGACAGACACCTGGCTTTCCCAAGTACCCTTCAGGCTAGATTAAAACCAACAAAGAAGGGAGGAAGGATGAAAAACGGCTAAAAGTTGATCATTGGGAAGATAAAATATCAGCATAGCAAAATCACTATCAATACAAAGCAGTCTGAAGCCACTTAATGTAAGGGAAAACATGTCAGTAGTTTCAGACTATATGAAGCAAAGTAAAACGATTAAACTCTCAATGATTCCCACTTAACGATGGTAAAGTTAAATTATATTCAGATATACTATTTAGTAAAGAATAAAGAAAGATTCATGTTAAATCTTTCAAGGCTTAAAAGGATAAGCTTCAGGTATAAAAAAATTTACGTAAAAAAGTCATGTAAGGAGTTGCCCTGGAGTTATTCTGCACAATGCTGTTACTTGATATATCAAAGGCAGCTCTGAAGGGAAAAATGTTTTAAATTATCTAAGTATCTCTAGGTATACAAACGTCCTCATTAGTTTTGCTTCCTAATTTTTCACAGATATTTGACCATTCTTTATTAAAATCTATTCAGTACACACCTATTATGTATTAATGAGGTTACTGTCTCCCTCCTCACCTCAGAATTTGTCTTTTCAACAATTCCCACACTCTCTCCTCAAAGCTCAGATACTCATTTATCTCACTCCTTCCCAAAGCTAAATTTTCCACCTAGGTATTCTATTTAGTGCTCTGGTCTTCTACAGGACCTTGGTCCTTCCTTCGCAGAGACACCAGTCCCAGCCGTCACCTCCCCAAACCTCCCAAAACATGAAACACTTCCTCACTCTTTGCTAATTGACATGATCCTCTCTTTCTCTCACCACTAGGGTTTTCTTTCTCTCACTCTCACTCTCAAACTCATGCGTGTCATTTTCTCTAATTCTACTGATGCCAGTTTCAAAATCCAATGGCCTTTCCTACCATTTTCCTTGATTTCTCAGCAACGTAATAAAACCGTTTCTTTGGTTGTCACAACGTCGCGTATCCTAACTCCTTTAATGAGACGCTTTCCTTCTAATGCCCTTTTTTAATGTAGATGCTCCCTGAGAAAGAATCAGCACTAGTTGTTTGCTCTTCTCTATGATTTCATCCACTCTCATGATGTCGGGTCATCTCCATGGCCACGACTGCTGTATCTCTCCAGCCCAACCTCTCCCTAGAGATGTCAGCTTTCCACTGGAAACTGCCTGATAGCCCCAAAATAAACAAGGCTAAAACCAGAATTCACAGTTCTCTGCCCCAAGTTTGACTTAACTTCCTGTTTTTCTTGCATCATTCTCCCAGTAACCCATGTTTAAGATTTTCAAATCATCTTGGACTCCTTCTCAATCCCCCACTCCAAATTTAAACACGAAGTTCTATCAATTCTTCCCTCATAACATCTCTCACATCTGCCATTTTCCCCCCTATTCTTATAGCCACTATTCCAGTTCAGGCCTTAACCTCTTCACATCTGGATTATTATAAAAACTGCTCACCCAAGCTATTTATAGCCTTCCCCACTTCCCATTTTTTAATCTGTACTGAACACAGCCACTACATTAGTTTTTCTAAAATACCATTGGACACATCACATCCTTCCTCAAAAATCATTTAAGGATCTCACTATCTATCATATAAAAGCGAAATTCCTTAGACTGGCATTCAAGCCCTTTTCATCAGTTTTGTCTTAGTTATTTTTCCAGATATCTTCCACTACTATCCAACCCAAATATTTTGTTCAAAAAGGCTAAGTCAATTCACTGCCTCAAGAATAGACATTTACATGCCTTTGTTTACGTCTTTCTCCACCTCCTGTTTTACAGTAGTTTTAGGTAGCAGGTAAAAGCATGGACTCTGGAGCCAGAGCCTGGGTTCAGATTCCAGATCTGGCATTTACGGAGTGACTTTGGGCATGTTACTGAAACCTTCTGTACCATGGTTTCCTCCTCTATAAAATGGGGATAATAATAGCACCTATCTCACAGAACTGTTGTAAGGATTAAGGAAGTGAATATATATTTAAGATTCCTGTCACACATTAGAACTATATAAATATTAGCAATTATTAGTATTTCAAGGCTGAGCTCAACTGCCATTCTTCCATGAAACCTTTCTTGGTAGCTCTAAACCACAGTGATCTCCTCTTTCCTATGTCTCCAAAACATGTATTGTGAACCACAAAAGTTTTAAGTATAAAACAGGGTTTCTCAATGGTGTCACTATTGACATTTGAGGCCAGATAATTCGTTATTGTGCGGGGCTGTCCTGTTCACTGTAGGATGATTAGCAACGCCCTTACCTTCTACCCGCCAGACGCCAGTACTAACCCACCCCCAAGCTGCAAAACCAAAAATGTTCCCAGACATTGCCAAATGTCCCCTAAGGGACAAAACTGCCGGTTGAGAGCCACTAGTATAACACAAGATCAAATACATGAAAGCACTTTGTAACCTCAAAGCGACATACAAGGGTCAAGTACTATTTCCACCCAGCACCTATGAAATACACTTTTGTATCATTTGATTGATTTAAAATTCATATGCACTTTCATTTCCCAATGGGTTTTAACATCCTTTAGTACAGAACTCATGTTTTACATATTCATTTCCACAATCACACCCAACCAAAGGCCTTGGACATCTGTTGACTGACAGCTAAGACATAGGTAATTTGAGACGGAACACAGTGAACTGGAAAGAGCATGGGATTTGCAGTCAAAAGGTTAGCTTCAATCTTAGCTTTGCCCTTACTTATTTTAGAACTTTGGGCAATTCATTACAGTCTATGAGCCTCAGTTTTCTGATCTATAACATCTAGACAGGCTGGCTATGATGTTCAAATGTGATCAGGTATGTGAAAGAACCATGTATATTGCGGAAATTTTATATACATAGAATCTTACATGTAAAAAGACAAAATGATTATTATATCAATACCCTAATACCTCTTTTACATAGACTCATCAGAGACTTTCTTTGCGACATTATTTTATAGGTAACTGAAGCTTATGCCTTTAAGTGTTTAACTTTGAGATTTAAACAAATCTGACGGAAGTTTTCTGCTTTCAGAAGTACTATGTATATTCTTCTTTCTTCAAGTAATACGTACTGAGTATAATTTAACTTTCCCTTACTGACTCTGGGCCATTGTTATAAACATCAATTACCACTCTAACATACAGTTCCCTTAGAGATTAACAGGTATCTAATGCTATTGACCTCTTTAAATAGAGTCAGAGGTACTGTGCCTAATTTTTTTCCACTGCAGCCTCATGCCTTTTCTGTTGCCCCTGTAATTCTCTATGGATTAGAAAACTAAGTAAGTTTGTTAAAGTGGAATCTAAAGTAAGAAAAAACAGATTTTGAAGGAGGACTCCAGAATTACCCCTATGATAAACCTCATAAATGGGAAACTTCACTACCATCTACCCTGGCTGCTCAGAGGTATTTTTCACTTACTTCCTGGTTCTCAGGGGTGTTCTGGATAAATGAAATTTCTGGGAAAGCAATTTATTTCTACTCTAAATATGTATACACAGAGACAGTACCACATGTTTTAATACATATATATGTATTATATTTATATATATAATAGAAACATACATAGGACTAACCTACTTATTTTTTTAAAATCTTCTATGAGTGCTTCCTGATACCACTCCCAAAAATGTCTCATTAGTTTAAAGCTACAAAAGAGCAAAGAACCATACTGTTTAAAAGAAAAAAAAAGAGCCAGAATTCATATGCTAAGTCCCATAATAAGCAAACCAAAAAGGAAGGAAAATAATATTATTAAATTTCCTTCCGATCTCTTAACTGAATTCTTCCAAGACATACACATGCCTGCTTGTTTTGTTTTGTTTTGTTTTGTTGGTTTTTTTTTTTTTTTTTTTTTCGGTACCGGGGCCTCTCCCTGCTGTGGCCTCTCGCATTGTGGAGCACAGGCTCCGGACGCGCAGGCTCAGCGGCCATGGCTCAC